CTGAATTATTATTATTAATATTATGATTTTTTAATGTTATTATTATATGTATATTTTTCTGAGATGATGTGATAAGATGTGACGTGAACAGTGCCACTCACGTGGCTATGACCAAGCAAGTGGTGCAAGTGGTCTGTATTTTATTCAGCAGAAAAGAAAAAGAAAAAAAATGTGAAAAATGGAAGAAAAAGCTGCGAAAAAGAAAAGAAATGTGAAAAATGGAAGAAAAAGCTGCGTAAATTCACATGGAACTTGGTTTTGGATTCCTTCAACCAAAATGTCAAAGAGAGGAAATAAAATTAAGAATTTTATTCATGCCTAGAATCTTGGAGTGACTGATGAGAGGAGACTTTGGGTAAAGGGGAAAGAGAGCTCTCTCTTCATCTCTCATTTTTTTTGTTTTTTATTAAGCATGCATATGCAATACAAGAACAGAATGTTGAATGTAGAAAAATTAAAGTGAAAGTATGAATGATCTTGCCAAACTTTGAGAGAATGATTTTCTGATGGAAACGTGGCCGTTTTCCGGCAAAAATTGACTCCGAGCAAATTACGGAGCCCTTCCTCTAGCGCCAAATTGTTGATGTCCAAAATCGGACGATCAACGGTCAATAAAAAATCGAATATCTTGTAGTAAATTCAAGAACAAATTAGTAGAAATGGTGTTTTTATTTATCATGTTGTGGAGAGGATTCTCTCTCTTCTTGTGGTGTTGGGAGGGAGACAATGAATGGTTCTCCTTTTCTCTCTCCTCATTTCCCCTATATATATGGCATTTTCCTTACAAGTGGACTAATTAAGTAAGTAAAAAAGATACATTATTATTTAATGTGAGATGATCATCGTGGGACCCGCTTATGACTTTTGACGGTTCTGATATACATCTGTCTTCTCGGCAATTGTCTCGTTTACTGTAGGCGATTACTCCATGATATACGTGTAGTCCGATTACATTGAGTTCTTGTTCGGCTCGGCGACGGGCGAACTCGACATCTGGGGGCCCGATCGGCTTTTAGATGATTAGTCTTGTGTACCTGCTTGTATATTTATTTATCTTGTATTATCGGTTCCTCGGTTATTGGGCCGTATTTTATTATTTTGTTTATTATATAATTAATCGGAGCCAAATTGAGTATCAACAATCAAGTCAAAGCTTAATAAGTGGGAGTCGAATATGCTGTAGCAATATTATAAATAAAAGGACATATTGTGGTTAAATATGTACATTTGACAACACAT